GGGGGGGGGGATGACCTATTGTTAATGTGTTCGTTCATTTTGATTGGGTTTTCCTTTGAGCTTTGACTAATTCACAATCTTCATGATTCATATTGGGCACTTACAGGAGCTACAGAAGCATGGCAGCCCTGATATCATTTTGGCATTGGTCGGTAACAAAGCCGATCTTCTAGAGAAAAGGAAAGTATCTGTTCAGGTAAATTCAGTGTTATTCAATCAAATGGCGTCTTGCAAAATGGGGAAAAGATCTTGTAACTCACTAATATGAGATACTTATGTTTCACTTTTGAAGGATGGGACTGAGTATGCAGAGAAGAATGGAATGTTCTTTATTGAGACATCTGCAAAGACTGCAGATAATATAAACGAGCTGTTTGAGGTATTCCTGATTTTATCCTTTTAGTATGACTTTCATAGCTGCTGTTGGTATACAAGTTTGTATAGCGATTTTTATGATATTCCGCAGTTCGAAGAGAGGTATCAAACAGTTTTAATTATTTTCTACCATCCCATAGTGCACGTTGACTTTTAGAAGTTCAGAATCTGCTTTATCATTGTCATAGCCAGAAATCTTCATAATATTCATTAGAGTTGCGGAACTTTAGCAAACCAATTCTCAATTGGTAATTGAAATCCAGAAGATGTGAAGTTCGAACGTTCTTTCACCCCAGCTTTTTGTATGGTGGTTGTATCTATCATTATGCTAGCTCCATAAGGTGTCGAACGCTCACCTTAAATCTCTATCGGTGGTTCTATCTTGTCACGATTGCTCAATGCCACCATTAAAATAGTGGCTCACTGGAGGACAAGTTCGGTTGGAATTTTTCTGACTGTTACCTCTTAGCTGATTTGTTGTTTGTTTGGACTAGAATGTTCTTTTGCCTATTTCTCTAATTCGTGCTCTATCGAATGCTTGATGAAACAGCTAGCTGTGGAATTTTTTTTTTCTACGACCGACCTTTTTGTTGAAAAAATGGACTAGTCCTCTGATAATTATTTATTTTCTATATTTTACCCGAAAATTGAAATCTTTGAGAAACACATATCGTGCTTGAATTATGTGAAGATGTTCGATAGTTGTCAAGATCACTTAGCTGAGATCCTGTCTCCCTTTCATATAATGCTTCTCTAGAAACACATTTCACCATCCCAAGAGGGGCAGTTTAAGATCCATGGCTTTGTAGATTTCACCAGATGGTTCCACTCAAATACATTTCAAGATCAAACATTTCTTCTTTATTTGATTTGGCAGGAGATAGCAAAGCGCTTGCCACGACCAACTTCCTCGTGATCTTGCCATGACGTGAATGATTTTATCAGCAGCAGCAGCAGCTTAATTTTCAGGAAATCAGCTTGCTCCCATGTGATCTGTGTATAGTTCTGTGAGTCCTGCAGCCTTATGCTTTGTTATTTGATTTGACTTGTTGATATCTTAAATCTAAAAGTGTAACATTAAACAGATATGAAAATGGCGAAAAGATTCATTCCCCCTTTAAACCACAAACTGCATTTGTAAACTATATTTGCTGTGACTGAGATAGAATCATTACTTAGCTTATTTTTCCTCTTTCTTTTAGATAGGATTTAGTGGGAGTGGATAAACGGAAACTCTATATGCAATCTCTAAGTGCATTGAAGGGATCAAACTGGGCACTCATTTCTATGTGGATGGGTTTATCTTGTGAGCCTCTGGAGGGAATAATTTGAATCTAAGATCTTTTAGTCGAGAGGATATAGTCTATGTCAGTTGAAATATAAGCTGCTTATGTTCGTGGAAGCTTCTAGAATATTTCAAACTCGGCCAAATGCTTTCATCACTTGATCATGATTCATGTCGATCTTGCAATCATAGTATCGATTAGTGATCCCTCGACCTCTCTCTTTCTTGTTTCTTTTCTAGTATTCTAATTAGAAGATGATGTATTTTGGGTTTGAAATTTTCGGCATTTAGTTCTAATTTAATTTCTATAATTTTAAAAGTCTCAAATTGATTTTAGAGTAATTTTGTTAAATTTGAAAATTAAATATATGGTTTAGATAATTTTTCAATTAAGTCTAATTTTTAAATAATATTTTTGGGGAATTTTCATTCGTTTAGAGACTTTTTTTTTTTTTTTCCTTTTCAATTTGAAATCAAAGAAATTAAATTAAAACTTTTAAAACGAAAATACACCAAAAAAGTTACAAATTTAAGTGATTGGGGTGAACCGGAGAGGTACAGTCACGTGGATCCCGGCATCACTTGGCACGGTGGTCGCCGCCGGGTCACGTGCTCCTACGGAGGCTTTTTTTTTTTTTTTTTTTATAAATATATATATATATATTTAATATATAAGAATATTGTGAATTTACCTGAAAACCAGTGCCTTTATTCGGGTGCAGATGAAAGTTGAAACGCCCATAACATTCTTCACACCCAAGGACAAATCATAATTATATATATATATATATATATATATATATTTATTTATTTATTTATTTTTTAAAATCCTCGACTTCCTATGTTTATAATTTTAATTTTTAAGCAATAAAATGATAAAAGAAAATAAATATGACTAATATTTAAAAATTATAAATAACACCGTCAATATTATTTATATAATTTTTGTAAATAATGTGATAAATAATATTAATGCTACTTTCCAAATTGAAATAAATAGTAACAAAATCAATTGAAATTGAATAATAAAATATTCTTCCATTTTCAATCCAAAAAAAAAAAAAAAAATTATATATTTTTTTTTGGAACAATTTGAAACTTTTAATATTCCTTAATGGAAATTAAAACTACCTGTATTTCATCTCAATCTATTTTCATTTATTTAAAAAAAAAAATCACTATTTATCCTATTTATTTACATTTCACAATTTCCAAAGCGAGCTAGTGATCTAACACGTGGATGATCTTTTAAGGAATTATTATTATTATTATTTTGATAATAGTTATTTTAATTATTATTATAAAAATTAAATGTAATTTGATTTTGATTATATTTTAGATATTATTTCAATGTAATTTGATGTTTGACTTTTTCTTTTTTTTATAAACTAATTTCAGGATTTACGAACTATTTAAAATGTTAAAATATAAATTAAATATTTTATTATTATTATTTTTCCTTAAGCTTTTAAATAATCAATTTATAATTTTATTTTCATAAATTCACTGCGATTCTATTGCAACACGACATCATCAACATCTTTCTTCCCGCGGTCCTGGATCACCGCCCTTATGGCCACAGCCACACGGCTGGGTAAGATCGCCGTTGCCGCCGTAGCCACCGCTGCCGGCGGATCAATCCTGCTTCAGCCTTCTCTCGCCTCTAATGACCGTGGTACCAGTGGTCACGCTCTCGAGTCATACAGGAACAAGATCAATGATCTGACAGCAGTTGTTCCGCCCCGATCGGTTCAGGAGTCGGCTCTGATCGGTGCCAGCCCCGTCAATCCTCTTGACATTCTCGTTGTTGGCGGAGGCGCCACTGGATGTGGCGTCGCGCTCGATGCCGTTACTCGAGGACTTCGCGTAGGCCTCGTCGAGCGCGAGGATTTCTCATCCGGGACGTCTTCGCGCTCTACCAAGCTCATTCATGGAGGTACTGAGAATTTGAAGAATTTGAAATTCTGTCATTGTTCATTCTTTGAATAAGCTGTGTAACCTTGTTTCGAAATTCCTGCTTTGGTCGTTCGTTGAATAATGATTGATACGGTGAAATTCTGCCACTAAATTTCATAATTTTGGTTCCGGTTATATGTTAGATTTGATACGAATGGATTGAATAACGATAACATGGAATTTTATTCGGTTTCTAGTTCTTGGACGCTAAAATGTCTCGTATTCGTTCTCAGGCGTGCGGTATTTGGAGAAAGCAGTGTTCAATTTGGATTACAAGCAGCTTAAATTGGTGTTTCATGCGCTTGAGGAACGAAAACAGTTTATTGAAAATGCACCACACCTATGCCATGCGTTGCCCTGCATGACACCTTGTTTTGACTGGTTCGAGGTCATCTACTATTGGATTGGGTTGAAGATGTACGATTTGGTTGCAGGGTCTCGCCTCTTGCACTTGTCTCGGTACTATTCTGCCCAGGAGTCCGTGGAGCTCTTCCCTACCCTTGCTAGGAATGGTCAGGGCAGAAGTTTGAAAGGCACCGTTGTGTATTACGATGGGCAGATGAATGACTCGCGAGTCAATGTGGGGCTTGCTTGTACTGCCGCAATGGCTGGTGCGGCGGTGCTGAATTATGCAGAAGTTGTGGGATTTTTGAAGGATGAGGGCAGTGATCGAATCATCGGAGCGACTATTCGTGACAAGTTGTCAGGTCCCAACCTCTTTTGCAATCTTCTACATCTGAACTGAGTTGTTTTGAGAAACCTTTTTTAAGTTAATTTTTACAGGGCATGTCATGTGGATGCTTACAGTTTCACTGGAATTGGAATCTTCAGGGTTCAACCTCTCTCTCGAAAAAAAATATATATTTTTACCCTTTCCCCATTCTCTTTCCCATGTCGATTTTGTTGCTTTGTGGCAATTACTGTTCAAGGATTGGACATCAGTTGAGGGGCCCCGAAAAATTATCATCTTCAACATATGACTAGAATCCTCGGAACACTCGTCTATTTTTCGTTGATCAACTTGCTATATTGATTTAAGATCAACCCAAGAATCTCCTGTTAGAAGATGGAGCTAGATTTTACATGGTTCTGTATGTGGCACAAATGACAATAGATGCTAGTTGAAATTACACAAATAAATAAGTAATGGAGTAATGAATAAAATTGTAGACTGGCTTATATATTCCTTTTATTTATCTGATCCTCACTGTCACTTACTATTTATGTGTACCAGGTAGAGAGTTTGATACCTATGCAAAGGTGATTGTCAATGCTGCTGGGCCATTTTGTGACTCAGTGAGAAAGATGGCCGATAAAGAGGCAGTGTCTATGATCTGTCCCAGCAGTGGTGTTCATGTAGTTCTCCCTGATTATTATTCTCCCGAAGGAATGGGTCTGATTGTTCCCAAGACTAAGGATGGGCGTGTTGTTTTTATGCTGCCATGGTTAGGACGAACAGTTGCTGGAACCACAGATTCCAACACTGGCATCACTATGGTTCCTGAGCCACACGAGGATGAAATTCAGTTTATACTGGATGCAATCTCTGATTACCTTAACGTGAAGGTATGTGATTTTATATTCTAACCCATAACAAGGTATTTGATTGATCATTATCACCTGTTTCTTTTTCTTTTTCAATATAACTTGATTGCATGAATAGCTGTGTTAAGATTTAAAACAGTTAAGAAATTTTTTTAGGACCTCCTGATTTCCATGTATTTTATCTGCATTTATGTTTGTGCTTTTCATCCATAATTTATACAAGGTTGTCTTCTCCTGCTTTGTGATAAGAACGTTGAAGCTCAAAATTCTTATCCCTTTTATCTTTTTATCTTTTGGTTTATTGTTTGTCTTCTTATCTAATCAGTCTAAGTTAATTTGGTTCTCATTCTTGGCATTGATGATTTAGAATCCTTTAGAAAATTAACATTTTGAAAGATCTTACTTGATTTCCTGGACCAGGAAAAACATGGTAGTTGTCATATTCTTTCAGCTTATGTATCTGTATCCTTGTTGCTACTTACTACATTGCTTCATTAAGATTTGCCTGTAACCTCAGTTGGTAAGTACACTCACAATCGAAATCTGTAGCAAAATATGCTTTGAAAATTAAAAGAAAAAACTTTTCAAGGTATAAGAAGACGACTTTTTTTTGTTGATTCCTAATCGTTTTTGGTTTCATGTATTAAGTTTGAGTTATATGATTTGTCTCTGTTGATTCCTAATTATGTATTTATTTTTTTATTTTTGTTCCAACTATTAATTTTTCTTGGCTTTAGTGAAATGTCCAAGTGTTAAAGATTGTAGGGGTAATATCATGATAAAGGAGGGTAGCATTTTAGCACGGTATACTTTTTAGGTCTCCTCTTTAACACTTAATAAGCTAAAATAAAATTGTGGGTTTTTCTGTTTAGTATTTGTGTAGCAGTAGAGTTAAGGTTAGTCATCTCTTCCTAAGTTTGCTTGTGGAGAATAAGTTTAAAGATGACTCAGACTAATGTTTATTTTACTGTTCCGTCATGTGGATGGTTGAAGCTATCCAAACAGATGGTTATCAGTGATATGATTTTGACTGCTGGTATTTGATGCAGCGAAGGGGACTGTAGATGTGTAGGTGGGTGGGGATTGTGCCTGATGGATAACTTATATATTATGCATATTTTTCAATGTTTAAGCCCTTCATGGCCCCTGAAAAGTTGTTTATGTTGTTCTAGTTAGCTTCACTTGCACGTGATAAAAAATTGATTCCGTTTCCTCCATTCTGATAGTCTTCTTCAAGAGATCCAAACTGAATTCCTCTTCTAATTTTAGGTGCGGCGAACAGATGTTCTCTCAGCTTGGAGTGGTATTCGCCCTTTAGCTATAGATCCATCAGCTAAAAATACGGAGAGCATCTCAAGAGATCATGTTGTTTGTGAAGATTATCCCGGATTGGTCACAATTACTGGTGGGAAATGGACTACTTATCGGAGGTACTATTATCCTGGCTGTGTCATAAAATATCTGGCCTACACGCTTGAGAATTGTTAATAATTGAAATGGAAATTTTAATGCATGTAGTAAGTAATCAATAAGGTCTTGCCGTAAAGGCTGGCTGGCAGAAAGGAATTCATAGTGAGCTTTGCACCTTAGATGTTTTGACACTCTTTATCTTATAGTCTAGAGTAAAGCACATTATCGAATTGTAAGACATAATCACATAAATGCTCGTTTCTATCTGATTTTATCTTTTTTTTTTACCTCCGACCTTTCTTCTTCCTTCAATGTCTTCACACTTTCTTTTTACCACGAGTATAGTTCTGATTTGAACTGGTTTCAGCATGGCAGAAGATGCTGTTAATGCAGCTATAAAGTCCGGAAAGCTAAAGCCGACAAATGAATGTGTAACTAACAAGCTGCGACTTGTTGGTGGAGATGGATGGGGACCTGCATATTTTACTGTCTTAGCTCAACAATATTTACGCATGAAGAAGAGTCATAGTGGTAAAGTTGTCCCCGGAGTTATGGACACTGCAGCTGCAAGACATTTATCTCTTGCGTATGGCATTTTAGGTGAAAAAGTGGCCGCTATAGCCCAGGTTTGTGTTTCTCTCTATACCATTGCTAACTCTTTTTATTCTTTTTTTCTTTCTTTTCGTACCTATTTCACGTGTCTCTAAAACAGTTATCTGCTTTAACTACCCTTCATGCTGTATATTGATAGCATAGTCATATTAAGGATGAAAAGGTGTTAGTCTGCGAACTTGTCGTATGCTACAAAAATAAGTGGTTGGCACCCTTAACTCTCAGATGGGACAATCTGCAGGATGGTAATGTGGCTTTATCCTCCAAATTGTTGTGGTTTTTCTCTTAGGAGATAGATCCCCTTTGGAGGATTTCTCGTTACAAGTATGGATTGAAAAAGGATGGGGGGGGGGGGGGGGGGGGGGGGGGG